CAGACCGTGACAGAGGAACCAAATACCCATCACAGACCGTGACAGAGAAGCTCTGGACCCATCCCAGACCATGACAGAGAACCTCTGGACCCATCACAGACCGTGACAGAGAACCTCTGAACCCATCACAGAGCGTGACAGAGGAACCAAATACTCACCACAGACCGTGACAGAGAACCTCTGGACCCATCACAGACCATGACAGACAACCTGTGGACCCATCACAGACCGTGACAGAGAACTCCAGACACCATCACAGACCATGACAGAGAACCATCGGACCCATCACAGACCGTGACAGAGAAACCTCAATACCCATCATAGACCGTGACAGAAACCCTAGTATCCATCACAGACCGTGACAGAGAACCTCCGGACCCATCACAGACCGTGACAGAGAATCATCGGACCCATCACAGACCGTGACAGAGAATCATCGGACCCATCACAGACCGTGACAGAGAAACCTCAATACCCATCACAGACCGTGGCAGAGAAACCCTAGTATCCATCACAGACCGTAACAGAGAACCTCCGGACCCATCACAGACCGTGACAGAGAAACCCCAATACCCATCACAGACCCTGACAGAGAAACCTCAGTACCCATCACAGACCGTGACAGAGAAACGCTAGTACTCATCACAGACCGTGACAGAGAAACCCCAATACCCATCACAGACCGTGACAGAGAACTTCCGGACCCATCACAGACCGTGACAGAGAAACCCCAATACCCATCACAAACCGTGACAGAGAAACTGTAGTTTTGAAGCATCAAATAAATGGTAAGCTACAAATCTATCTTGAAGAAATGGAACAAAACGATGTCTATTTAATTAGTAACAATAGGTCCATCGTGTTTCACATTTTTAATCCCGCAAGGGATTGCGCTAACAGCTTTTTATGTATGTTTACTTATTTTGATCATAGTATATCGTATTCAATTGGAAATATCGTTGATTTAATAGATCAAAAAATCTTATATAGAAATAGTTCAAAAAATGAAATTGATTTAGAAAATAAATATAGGTTTTTTTTAACACATCTTAACAAAGGATCCGAATATTTATTTTATGATTTTAATCGAGGCAATTATTTTTCATCATTACGTTTAAATCCAGATAAATATATTTATAAACGTTTAGATGTTCCACAATGGTTAGAAAAATTAAAAAAATTAAATAAAAAATTATTTTTAGCAACCAATTCAAGTTTCAATAATACAGATTTATTAACAAGATATGCATTTGGTGATGATTGGAAAGATTTATTTGATTTAATTATTGTTGTGTGTAAAAAACCTTCATTTTTTTCCAATTCAAAAAAACGATCATTTCATCGTTTTATTGATGAAAATACCACAATACCAGTTAATAATGAAGATATAATTAAAGATTTTAATAAAAATTATATTTATTCATTTGGTAGTAGTGAAGATTTACATTTCATTATGAGTCAAATAAGTAAAAAAGATCCATTAGTAATATATTTTGGTGATCATATTAAATCAGATATAAATGCATTAAAATGTTATACTAATTGGTTAGCAGGAGTTGTTATTGAAGAACTTGAATTTGATTCTCCTCCAATAATTATTCATAGAACTAGTCATCATTTATCAAATCGATTATCAATAAATGATCAATCTTATAACAAAGGAAATCGATCAAAATATTTTTCTAGTTTTTTTACTTCTCCAACTGATTCGTTTATCTTCGATGATGATAATACAAATCGAACAAAATCTGAACAAACAGAACCTGATGCTGTATTACCTTCTTTAACATCTTATTGGTACGCTTATATAACAAAACATGCCCATTTAAGTTTAAGTTGTTTAAGTGTATTAGCAAATCATTTTGATTTAGATCATCAGTTTGAACATGATCAACAAACTCAACATTTTGTTATAATGCATCAAAATAATAAATAAATATTACAATATATTTATATGATTCTATTATATAGGAGTCAAGATAAAAGAAATAAGAGTATTTTTCTTCAATCCTTTTGTATTGATGCAATAAAGAGTGTTTGTCTTTCATAAAATTGTGTATATGTGATATATTTCAGACTAGTTAATGTGTTTCTTTTTTGTTTTCTTTCAATAAATGGAATCAAAGTTTGTCCAGATTTTTGAGGATGAGATCAACTACTATGACGCATTCTGACTCAACTAAGAGTCTCAATAGATGACTTTGTCTCTAGTTCATTTCATAAAAGAATCAATTTGACATGATTCATCCGCGAAACGCTTAGCACAAACTAATAGAAGTAGACTCATTTACCGAGAGTGTGGGTGTGGGCATGGGTTCTGTTGAAGAGAAGATCAATTCCCACACCCAAAATGAGTACGGTTTTTTCTAATCGACAAACCGATGAATACAGGAAAACAATTGTGATCTCATATTTAACCTGTTTCGCCAAAAAGAAGAAATAATTGAAGATTTTTTCATGCTGCTTTAATTTTACGGTTGTTCATTTTAGTTTGGCGAACGAAACAAGTGAAATAAAGTGGATTAAATGATAATGGAATGTTTCATTTTTTATTCAATTATGATCAACGTAGCAATCGTTCTAACAGTGCATCTAACCGTAACTACGGAGAGCTGTCTATGACAAACGGGAGTAGAAGGACGTGGAAAGCCTCAATACAAAATTAGTCTAATATTCTAATTTTTGAATTCTACAAAACTCGTGTCTACTTGATGAATATCTTGGTTCTATCGACTTTAACTCATCAGTATGAGATTACAAAAAAAAGCAGATTGAATAAGTTTAAAGATATCTTTTTAGGTTTTTTTTCCACAAACTGTATATCTTCGAAATCCGTCTTCGAATTAGATATAAACTGAGATGTAAAATTTTGTTAACTCGTAGAAGACTGAAGTCATTCGTCATTGTTTCGATAACGAAGATGATGACATCTAATAAAATATGCAGCATCATCGAAGCATGCATCGAATCCTATTTGTGGTTTGATATTTGAAATGAATGGTTCACATTAGAGTTTCGGTTTAGGAAGTATTCGAACAGTTCAGACAGTGTTGGATATTTGGATATTTGCCTTCGTATTTCTTTAGATGTATGAGCAAAGTTCTGGAATGAGTATGTCGGAACTTTGTTGACTTTTTTTGTAGATCTGTATACTTCCAGTTTTTGAATCATTCACTCCACTTTTTGTAGCCTTACCGTAGTCAAATATAAATTCCCTTATTTTGACTTCTACTTATTTTTATTAATTAACTGAAAATGGTCACAGTCAAGACCTAACTGAATTCCGAAATCTTACGACTCATGCATGCCTGGTATCATCGTATAGATTTACATCAAAATATTCTTTATCATAGACAGATATTCACTGTCTCTTGGTAATATTCTGATCAGTATGTCATTTCGTATACAATCCATAAGATGCTTTTTTTACTGCTAAAAAAGATAATATTTATTTCTATTTTACAGGTAGAAAAAAGATTGTTCAGCAAATGAACATATTTTGTCTATCTTTTTCTTCATCACATATATATTCAAGGTAAATTAAATAATTTGTTTTCTTCTTTGTTCTACAGTATCTTCAGACTGTTTCTCATAGATACATGAAGCAAAACGGGATGCTGTTTCAGATTCAATGAAATCTAAGTCAATATCATTGAATGCATTCCTTCGAACATCGTCACTTGTATGTCCAATTACATGTTGGACCAGCATAGTAATATTCACACTTTGGCTAGAGTCCATCTTGCTCTTCAATTAACCGTAGATCTTCATTTGAACTAGGATCTAACATAAGATTATTCAATATACTTTGAATTTATTTAGAGAAAATAAGAGATAATTGAGAAACATGAGAAAGTATTTTAACTATGATATATCAAACATTAATTGATTTTGATTTCAAATAAGATAACAAAAGATTTTAAATGGCTTCCTCATCTTTAATATATTGAATACGTGTTATACATTTCTTACATATGTAGAATATCCGTAAGGTAAATCCAAATCTGTGTCTATCATCTGTATTGTTTTAGTAGTAAAGTGACGAATATTGTTATATAATTCGATCATAAAGATTGACAAAAGAGTGGAATGTTCTGCAATAAATTTTGCGATAGCATGTTCATTGTTATCTTGAATATCATAAAGAT